GAGCTGTAGCGTGGGAGTGGATGTGATCTCCGTATGAGGATGAATGGAGATTAGACATTAGAATCAGACCGAATGTAACCCATCTAACTCCATTCTTGCATCAATGATTCTCGCTCTGAAGAATATTTGGTCTAGATTGCGTTAACTATATACTTAAAACAATATTGTGAGTCTTACTCTCTCAGCATATTTTATGTTTTATATTTTTATATTTATTTTCTCAAATTCAGTTTTTTTTTTTTTTTTTTTACACAAATTCAGTTTTTTTTGCTTAGATTTTTCCAGGTTCTGTTTTATTTTTCCATTTTAATTACCATTTTTTAAAGGGTTATATTAAATGATAGTAATAAAAAACATGTCTAATTAATTGAAATCATACAATTTAGAAACAATTTATTAAAAGTTTAACAAAAACTAAATGTTTAGGGCCGTATGAAATTTGCTTTAATTCTTTCAAAATTCTTTTTTTTCCCAAATTACATTTTATTTTTTTCTTGATTTCGTTTTAATGGTTTAGTTTAATATGAATAATCAAAAAGCATGTCTAATAAATTCAATTCATAAAACTTTTACAATTTAAAAACTTTTTTTAAATTTTACAATAAATGGCACTATGAAATGTTTTATTTTTTCAGAAATTCTATATGTTGTCTGTTTAAATTTTTCTAGATTTACGACTTAAAAAAAATACAAATTTATTTATTTATTTTAAAATTTTATTTTAAAAACTTAAAATGTATTTATTTATTTTAAGGTAATTAAATGAAGGCATAAATCATTAACAATTTATTTAATATTTTAATATGTAATTATTAAAAAAACTTAAAAATTCCTTTTATTTTTTGGGAAACAAAATGTTGCGTTATACTGCAAATTCCATTTTTATGACCATGATTCCACGATTGTGTCCACGTTTTATGCATTGCAGACAATGCAATCCCATAATGCACTGCGATGAGCTCAGTGGGAAAAAAAAACGATGAATACTGAGAAGTATCAACCAAAATCAATATCAAAGATATGTTTCCCAAAATCAGAAAATACAAAAGAAAATTCTGATTCTCTGTAGGCCTGCAGTTGTGAAGATGCTGCACATCCTACAAAAACATACATAAAAATAATTTTATTATGCAAAATAAGACAAGAACCGTCTAATTCCTGTCTGATCTAACGTCTGGTTTCCTCACGAACGGTGTTAAACTCACCAGCTCGATGAATATTTAGAAGGAGCTGTACCGTAGAGTGAAACCGCTTCAGCCGTAAATGTCCTGCTATCAAATGTTGTAAATATTGTATAAATAAACGGTCTATATATTGGCATTTTATCAGCCACTCAACTATCCAGATATCAGCATTCGTCAAAACTAGTCAAGACAGACTGATTGTTAACTCTGTGAAAGAAGAATTATTATAATCAAAATTCTCATCGTAATTCATCGTCTGGAAAACAGAAGCAGGTGCGGAATCGAATGATGACAAAATAGGCCTGGGCGATAAAACGGTATCGATATTTATCGACGGTACATCTTCTTCGATATCGATAGAAAAAATGTTCGATATAGCGCACGATATAGGCACGTGCTATGAGTGACGCAGACAGCACACACAAACACGAACACATGCTGAAATGAGTGCTGTGCTGCCTGTGATGAGGAGATTGTGAATAAAGAATGAATATTGCTGCTCAATGTGAAAGCACGCAGGTGATGGAGATTTACCGCTGATTACAGAACCAGCTTTACTGACAAGATGCGCGTTAAATATCGCATGCGATTTATCGTGCAGCCCTAGACGTAATGCACGTTTTTATAGAGTCACTTGCTAAATGCGCGGCATTATTTTGCTCATTGCGCCCTCCTGTGGCCTCGGGAGACAATTAGACCTATACAATAAAGACCTATTTAATCTGCATATAAAACATTAGAAATTAGATATTCGTTTAATTTGTATTGTGTTTGATTGTTAAAACAAAAAATATTTGTTGTTTGTCTCAAATTGTGTTAACTATAAATACAGTGGTTAAATGTAAACATTTTTTTTCTATTGCTTTTTGTTTTAAAAAAAGGTTCAATAATTATCGATACCGAATGATATGAAACATTATATCGTTGATAATTTTTTTTAGCTATATCGCCCTGCCCTATGACAAAATTCACTATTTTGAGTAAACTACCACTTTAAGGTCTGGGCATTTCAAGTACATATTTCACAATTTATATTTCTTCCCTCAAAAAATAAACAAACAAATAAATAAAATAAAAAAAATTGAAAAAAAGAGAAACCATACTTTGCTTAAAAATAAAAACCAAGCCATTTTTACAGAAAAAAAAGACTCTAAATGGTCAGTTAAACATCTACAGGTTTTCTATAATTGTGTGAACCCTGTTTTTATCATTAGTTTCATGACAATTTTTCAAATTAAGATCTGAGCACATTTTCCACCCACTAAAAACATTTTAATTTCCATGATAGTAGGCCATTTGTTGTACTGTCCTTTATTATTGTTATATATATATATATATAATTAAAAGTAATGTTATCTATTTATTATTATTATATATATATATATATATATATATACAGCAGTCAACATTTTAAGTGGATCAAAAAAGTTCATCAAAGTTGTCCTCTAAGACAAGAACGGGTATTGTTTTGGTTTTAGCCAGGACAACTTTAATGAAAAGATATTTTATACATTAATATATAATCATCTATTACTCAGTTCATTAAATTTGAGTGATGCTGTCACAGGATTCAGAAGCTAAATCACTGAGATCAACAAGTGCTGGAGGATTTCGGTTACTGCTGAACACTGAAACAATTCTTAGGAAAAGTACGTTAGTAAGCAAAACAAACTAACCCTGTTAAATCAGTTCACACTATACAGTATGTAGAGATGATGACTATACAGTTTAACTAAACGACTTTTTCCCTCATTTTTACAGTTTCCTTTCTGCTTTTACGAACACGACTCAAAAGATGTCTAAAAGTCTGTTTTAGTGAATGCTTCTTAGTAAAGTCTAACAGCTTGTATGAGAAGTGAACTATCTAGTGTTCACTAGTGAGGCCGGATCGGCCCCTCCCCCACCCTCCTCAGCATGCGCCGCTGAATCTAACGGCTTCTTTAAGCGTGTTTTACCACAAAAACAACAAGAAAATAGCTCTATCGAGTGTACATCAGTGCACACTACTCTCCGAGGGGCTCGACAAACACAAGACACCGCGGAAATAAGACGTTAGCGGCGTTAAAAAGTTCATTCAATCACGAGTTTCTCCACATAAAGATTTCCAAACGCTTCAGGAGGATAATCCACATTGGAAAAGCTCAAACGAGGGAAATATCGCTTCTTCTTACCGTCAAGAATCAAGCTGTCGCTTCTCTTTCACTTCCACCGGGAAAATATCCTCCAACTTCAGTGTGCGACCCGCGACTTTGCGCCCATCTTCGGTCGGATTTCCCCTCAGCGCTCGGCTCGTTATCGGCGGTAGTCCGCTAAAAGATCGACGAGAAACAACAATCGAGGTTTCGACTGCCAAAGCTAACGTTTAAGTGTGGATCCTGTGTGTTTTTAGGCAAGTTTCCTGTGTGTTTCTCACAGAAATGGAGCGTCGGAAGACAGCAGCAGCGCGCACGCACTTACTATAGCAGAGCGATGCGGGCGGTGACCAATACCTAGTGAGCGCCCTACCAAGGCTACTACACTAGCATACTACTCTTACGCATTCTGCTGTGTATAAAATGTGTACCGCGCACACATTAAATAGTAAGACGTTTTAGTGAAAATTGAATTAAAAATGGAAAAATTATAAATTTTGTATTTTAGACAGTAAAGCATTTTATACACAATTAAGTGTTATATTTAACATTTTATGTAGTAAGACTTTTTTTTATGTACAAAACCGAATTAAAATGCTAAATTACATTTATTTTAAATGTGTCAATAGTAAGACTTTTGTAAGACATTTTATGGAAAATGCAATAAAAATGGCAAGATTACATATTTATTTTATACAGTTTATTTGTATTTTATGCACAATTCAATTAAAACGGAAAAGTATACTGTAAATGTTAAATAGTATGGCTTTTTTTGTACAACATTGAATTACAATTCTAAATAATATTTATTTTCAATGTTAAATAGTAAGACTTTTGTAAGACATTTTTATATACGATTGAATTAAAAATGGCAAAATTATATATATATATATATATATTTATATTTATTTTTCTACAAAGTAAAGCATTTTATATACAGTTAAAATGTAAAATTATATTTTAAATTTTAAGTAGTAAGGCTTTTTTATACAAAATTGAATTAAATGCAAAATTATTTTATTTTAAATGTTAAATAGTAAAACTTTTAAATATATATAAAAATTGAAAAGCTATATTTTATTAATAAACATAAACTTTACATATGGCTCAAGTCCCTTCTTCAAGGGATTTTTTTCACCTGTTTTATTGTCCATCAGGTGAAAATTGTGCATCTGATTATTTAGTAAACTACTATTTATCAATGCACAAACTGAAAAATAATTAAAAGAAATCATAAAATATACAGTTCGATAACTATAAAGTGATTTAGCAATTTTGAACTAAATCAAAATGAAGTTTTTCCTGACTATTTCATCTTTTGAATAAAGACGCCTCCATGCTGTCTATGAAGGGCGCTCACTAGGTATTGCAACACAGCCTTGGCGAATGGGGGGAGGGGAGAGTTTTGCACTTTGTGACCCACAATGCAAAAATGAGCAGCTGACCTTAAACCTGCTTATTTTCAACAGCACGAAATCGGAACACATCCACTGTGAAATAACACAGTCATCGCCATTTTGTGCCACTGACTTCTAAATACTTTCTAGCATGTGTACAGTAACAGAAGCGTGCTCAGGTTTTTGGAACGCAATTCCTAATAGGTTCTATGCTAGTAACCTTAAACTAACATTCTTTTTTTTTTTTTGCACTGTTAATTAATGATTCGCTTGTTTGTTTAGCAGCCAGTTACTGTCATTCTAGGAGTGTACTTTTTGCATTAAAACGTAACCAACGTTTTTTGCGTGACAACCTAATTGCAACGTATACGCAACGTTACGCAACATTATATTCTATTCAGGCTCAGTGCATTGTGACACATGCACAACCAATCAGATCATATTTGATATTTAATACACGGTTATATCATTTAGCTAAATTTTTGACTCATGTGATTTCATCGTGGGCGGAGCTTATAAGTGCGACATCGTAACCATGTGACCAATAAATGCCGTCATAAATCCCAGATATATGTGATTTATCGCTTGTTGCTTTATCTTGTTGGGACATGGTGTAATGATTATTTTTAGGGTTTATTATTTTATAATACAATACCTTCTTAATAAACTACTGTACTGTCGCTAGAACATTCCAGGAGCAAAATAATGTGAAACAACATAAAGAAAATGTCAGTTTTGAACCGAATCAATCCTGAATGAACATTAATATAATAATGTGTTTTCATAATGTTTGACATTCGTTTTCTAACGCTGAATATGATTATCATCAGTAGATAACGCTTCTCTGGTTGTTATGACGCAATGTTACGCAGACTGGTCTCCCCTCCCCCACTGCTGTTTTTTGCGCATGGAAGGTCACACAGCGTCTGATTAATTCTGCTTTCGCTCTGCACAGTCATTCACATTTGGAACGTAAATAAGGAGTTAACATCGTTACAGGCGTACGTTAGTGTGACACGTTCCTCTGAGAGCCGTAAAGACTCACGTATCCACGCAGCTACTTACAGAAACCTTTATTTAGATTGGAATAAGTTAATAAATAAATAGATTAGAATATGTATAAAAAATAAATTGAAATGTGTACATAATAAACACAATAAATAAATAATACATATACCATTACATTGGTAAAATGAGTAGAAAAATGTAAAATATTGAAATACTTATGTTGATTTTCATCAATCAGAATGAATCCAATCTTATTTCAGATTCTGAATGTTCTGTTTATATTAACCTTAAACTTCAAATGTTCACTTCTGTTCATAATTATTTTATTATTGCTTAAAAAACACCTTCAATACCATTCCAAATTAACACTTTTATTTATCAAGGATGCATTAAACTAATCAAAAAGTGACATTTATAATGTTACAAAGATTTCTATTTCTGATAAATGCTGTTCTTTTGAACTTTCTGTTCATATGTGAATCCTGAAAAATAAAATGCATCACAGTTTCTGCAAAAATATTGTGCAGCACGACTGTTTTCATCATTGATAATAATCAGAAATGTTTCTTGAGCAGCAAATCAGCATATTAGAATGATTTCTGAAGATCATGTGACACTGAAGACTGGAGTAATGATGCTGAAAATACAGCTGCGCATCACAGAAATAAATTACAGTTTAACAGAGATTCACATAGAAAACAGCTGTTTTACATTCTAATAATATTTCACAATTATTACAGTATTTTTAATCAAATAAATGCATCCTTGCTGAGCAGAAGAGACTTTCTTTTTAAAAACAACATTAAAAAATCTTAAAATATATTAATGTGTTATAATGTTTTGCTACTTGTTGTTTAATGTACAAAAGCAAAGCCAGTTGTGCTGGATTGACCTGTATCTAGTATTCGTGTCAGTTCTCTATTTTCTGAATTGAAACAATGTACTTGAGTTTTCAGAGCTCCAGCAGAGGTGAAGAGCACCATATGACTGAAGCAGACTTGTCCTTTTTGGATCGAGACAGATGCTTGTTTCTGTCACGGAATAAAAATATAAAGAAGCCAGGTAACTGTGACATTTTATCTCACAATTCTGACTTTTTGTCTCAGAGTTGCACGTTTATATTTCACAATTGCAGGTTATAAACTCATAATTGCAACTTTACATCTCACAATTCTGACTTTTTATTCTTGTCGTTCTACTACATCTCACAATTTTTTTAATTTATTTTTTTATTTTTTATTTTTTGGAGAATTCGGAGTTAACGTCTTGCAATTCTGCCTTTTTTTCTTGGAATTCTGAGTTTACGTCTCACAATTCTTTCTTGTTTTTTTTTAACATTAATATCATCAGTCAAAATCAACAAGGTTTTACAGTAACGTTTTATCCATTCTCGCTGTTTATCCCCCTCCCCCCAAAATAATTAAATAAATATATAATAACAATAAACAAAAGCGACTATAAAATTTAAAACAGCTACAAAAAAACTTTTTTAATACAAAATGTAACAAATAACTGTGTTAAAGAAAACCCAGACCTTACAGGCCAGAGTCAACATAGTATCTCTCATTTTATGATACACTCTCAATTAGGACAAGAAATGGATCCCACATTTTTCTATGCGTCATAACATCGGAATTCAGAGTTTATCTCGCAATTCAGAATTTTTTTCTTTTCATTCTAAGTTTACATCTTGCAATTCATATTTTTTCTTTGTTAATTTGGAGTTTGCATCTTGCAATTTTGTATTTTTTATTTTTTATTTTTTTTAGAATTCAGAGTTTGCATCTCGCAATTTTGACTTTTTTTCAGAATTCTGAGTATACATCTCTGTGTTGTTAGATATAAACTCAGAATTTTGAGATAAAAAGTCACAGTAACCTTTTTTATTGTTTTATTCCATGGCAGAAATAAGCTTCCACGCATCTGATAATGATGTAAACGGTAGGCTGAACTGTTGATTGTTTAGTGTGTGCGCGTCCTTTAGCAGGCGTACGGCAGGAGCGCACTGACCTCCTAACAAAGAACAGGTTCAGTCTGCTTCCCCACAGGGTCATGTGACCTCCGGCAGTGGGAGGAAGGGCGTCTGCAGTCAGACAAACACATCCGTCTGTCTGTCTGGTGTGTGTGTTCATCTGCGAGATCTGGACGAGAAAAGTGTCCTGAAGACAGAAAATCTGACAGACTCATGTTTGTGTCGTCTGTGATACTGTACTTCCCCTCCCCCACTACAGTGCACACACACACACACACACTCTCAGACACACACACACACACACACACACACACTGTATGATGATCTTACATCAGTGATCTGCTTCCCGTCAGAGAACATGTCTGGATGAGTACGGCAGGGGTTTTCAGCGAGTGCTGGAGGGGTCTGTGGAAATGTTTAAAGAATAATGTAAAAAAAAAAAAAAGATTTAAATAAAAAAAAATTATTAAAATAAGTAAGGTAATAAATAAATAAGTGAATAAATAAATAAATAGAGGTCGACCGATATTGGATTTTACCGATAACGATAGCTAGGTTGGACCACACTGGCCGATATGATTAATCAACCGATAGTTTTTAAATTGGATACTGAACGCAAACTAAAATGCTGGAGGGGTCTGTGGAAATGTTTAGAGAAAATTGTAAAAAAATAAAATAAAATAAAATTAGATTTAAATTTAAAAAATTTATTAAAATAAATATAGATTAAATAAGTAAATCAATAAGTAAATAAAGAAATAAATAGATTAATATAATTAAAAATAGATTAAATAAACACAGGTCTATATTAGAATAAGTAAATAATTGAGTGAATAAATAAGTAAAAATAGTTTAAAATAAGTAAGTAAGTAAATAAATAAGAAATAAGTGAATAAATGAATAAATAAGTAGAAGTTGACCGATATTGAATTTTACCGATACCGATAGCTAAGTTGGACCACAACTGGTCGATACCGATTAATCAACCAATAGTTT